GGCCCGGTTGGGAAGACTCCGCTCGCTACCGGGGCCCGGAGCTCTATAATTACCATGGGAGGCTGAGTTATTTTGGGAAGCGGCTTTGCTGCTGCCAAAGCTTTTATTCCTCCAAACCAAAACAAGATGGAAAGAGCCCAGCCCAGGATGCTGCATCCGGCGGGCGTGGGGAGCTTTAACCTCCTCGCTGCCTGCCCGGGGCTGCCCCTACCAGCTCCCCCTGCCTGCCCTGGCATCACTGGCACCGGCACAGTGCCCGGGGCTCCCCCTGCCCGGGGTGGGGCTCAAAGGAGGGCCAGGGAGGAGATTGGGGGTCACAGAGACCACAGGGTGTCAGCCAGGCATGGGATGGGGCTGGGGTCACCATGTCCTCGTCTGCTGGCAGGTCCAGAGGCCACATGTTCGGATGTTCCCCTGCATCTGCTGTGACAATCTCTGTTTTTAGCTCTTTCTCTTGCAATGGGTCCTGTCTGGAGGCACTCCCTGGCTGGGCCCAGGAATGCCATGTGCAGGGAGCACCTCACTGCAGTGACACATGCCATGGGACAAAGCCCCAAGGATCTGTCCCCAAAGCCACCAAGAACAGGCAGAAGTTCTGCTCTCCCCTCTCCAAAGCAGCCAGACTCCAAGCAGGGAATAAACTAATTTTTCACACTGTGGAAAGGATAAGCCACGTCAGGCACCCTACAGTGCTCCCCCTGATCTGCCCCAGCAAAGGGATGAGGTGGGCTGGGGGGTCTGTGCTCAGAGTGGAGCCTGGAAACCTGGGGTGTAGCTCCTGCCTTTTGGCCTCTTTCCCTGGTCTGAGCCCATGCCTGGGCTGCTCCCTGTGCTTGAGTCTAATATGGCAGCCAATTACCCCCAAACCTACAATCTAGGGTCCCCCAAACCCAAACCCCACATGTCAGGGTCCCACAGCTCCCCAAACCCATGCACAGGGGTTCCCTAGGTGCACATGTCAGGGTCCCACATCTCCCCAAACCCACATCCCAGGGTCTCCCCATCCTTGGGCTGTCTCTGCAGGGAGTTCCTGCTCAGAGCAGGGGGTTCTAAGGGTCCACATTCCCCAAGTCCAGGCAGTGCCAGCCCCTTGGAGGGATCTGGACATGGGATGGGCTCTAAGCAACGGTGTCACAGCAGTGGGGAAAGTGTCACAGACATCCAAACCCAGGAGCCCACGTGGTCCCACACAAAGCCCCCTTTCCTCCTTGGACTGAACCTTCCCATAGCTCATCACCTGTCACCAGCTCCCAAATCCCTCCCAAAGGACTCATCAGTCGATGGTGCCCATCCCTGGTCCTGCCTGGGGCCCTGGTGGCACTGGGCAATGCAGGAGCACCCATCACTCACCTCCCCTCGGGAGCCCCAGTGCCAGGGGCTGTGCTGGAGCTGAGGGAGGATGCAGTGGGATTGAGAGAAGCCATTTCTCCCCCCAGAAGCAGCTGAGGCTTTCAGGCAGCCGCAGCTGTCCCCTCCCAGGTGCCTGTGTCCCCACAGGACACAGGGATGGGCCCCAGTGCCCCCAGCTGGCAGAGAGGATGGCAGAACCGTGTTGCCAGGGCTGTGTTTATAAATGCCATGTTTATGTAGACTTTACATAAATGAGGTGGGAACTGCTTCCTATGGGATTTTCTTGCCTGGATTTGGCCAGCCTCACCTGTCAGGGACCAGAGGACACCAGAGGGGGGACAGGAGCTGCAGTGACAGCCCTTCTTCCCATCCCCACACCCCACAGCCCGCTCCAGCTACGGGGGAATTGAGGCAGATAGACAGGTACTGACCCCCACCACTGGCCTCAGAGCTCCACCAGGGTTTTGGGTGTCTGGATGTTCCCCATGGAGCCACCAGGTGCTGGTGACATGTGTGACCCAAGGAGGTGGCTCCTATCCCAGCCCAGGCTGCAGAGGGGAGGTGTGACAGTGACACCAAATTATGGAGGGAGGGCTCAGGCTGCTCCAGAGCCACACAGAGCCCCCAATCCTGAGCCAGGGAAGGGATCTGTGCCACCTCTGGGGACAGGGTCAGCTGTGACACACACCCTGCAGAGCCACATTCAGTGCAGGATGGGAGATCAGAGGGCTGGAGGACAGCAGTGATCCCAGGATGTCTCTAGTCCAGCCTCTGGCTGAGCTGGAAAGGGCTCCAGAGGATCCCAGAGCCACTGCCTGCTCAGCACTGGAAACTCCTCATGTGAGGGTGAGTCTTGCTGTGGCCAGGAGTGGGGATGAGACCCCATGTCCCCATGGGGCTGGACACCCCAGCCAGACCCCTGTGACCCTCCTCCATCTCCACACATCCCTGTGCAGCTGGGTGCCTTGCTGGGATCTCTGGATCCTTTTCCAGCTCCACACATCCCTGTACAGCTGGGTGCTTGCTGGGATCCCTGGATCCTTTTCCAGCTCCACACAGCCCTGTGCAGCTGGGTGCCTTGCTGAGATCCCAGGAATCCCTTTCCATCTCCACACATCCCTGTACAGCTGGGTGGGATCCCAGGAATCCTTTTCCATCTCCACACAGCCCTGTGCAGCTGGGTGCTTGCTGGGATCCCAGGAATCCTTTTCCAGCTCCACACAGCCCTGTCCTGACTGGTCCCCAGCACCTCTCCTCCTTGCACATCTCAAGCCTCATGAGGACCCTCTGCCAGTTACCTCTGTCACAAGATGTCCCCCAGGAGGGTCCTTGCAGCACCAGTGCCCACCTTGCCAGGATTCCTGGAGAACCTGCCCTTGCTCCTCTCCCCTGGAGTCCCAGACTTCCCCACCAGGAAGGTGACCAACCCACGGCCAATGGTTCATGGCTGGAGCTCTCAGCTGTGTCCCTGCCAGAGCCACTGGTGCCTTTGGCCACCCCCTTGGTGGGGACACCTGGCTCCCCAAGTGCCACCATTCCAGACTGGGGCAGGACCCTACCAGAGACATCCCTGGGGGCACACAGCAGGAGCTGGGAGGAGACAGTGGGTGCAGTGGCAGCTCTTGGTGGCCTGTGACATGGTCTAGGTGGCCTTGTACCTCCTGGGAAGGGATGGCTGGAGGGACAGCCAGGTGCTGGTGATGGAATGAGCCTCTCCCACGGGCACTGGGTCAGGCTGGACAGGGGCTGGATTTGGGCACAGGATGCTGCACAGCCCTGGAGGAAACTTTCAGGTGACAGTGACAGCATGGGGCCACTGTGGCTGTGCCAGAGCCACCTCCCTGCCTGGTGAGGGGGTGTCCCAGCTGGTGGCTTGGTCTGGGATGAGTTGCTGGTCACGGGGGTGACTCAGTGGCCACTTGGTTTTGTGGCCAGCTGCTGGCTCTTGCTCCAAGGGCCACCGGCAAGTGTCGCAGTGGGTGTGGTGTCCCTGACACCCCCAGGTATCCGGGCACCCAGCTGGGTGAGGGGCTGGGGGGATCCCATGGGTTTGGGGGTTCCTACTGCAGAGCTGCGGGTCTCCTGGGGTGCTGCTCTCCTGTGGCAGCAGGGGACTGGGGACAGTGGTGTTCCCGAGGTGTGGTGGCCCCAGTGGCTCCCTCACCCCAGCGCTCCCAGGGAGTGACAGTGTCCTGCTCCCAGAGCAAAGAATCAGCACAGTGGGGTGTCACCAGGGGCAGCATGGTGTCACCAGGGGCAGTGTAACAGCCTGTGACACCAGGCAGGGTGTTAGTCCCTGTCCCTCACTGGGGTACTGGGGCAGTCAGGAGCCACTCCAGGAGGGGGGACAGTGCCACTGTCACTACATCCACCCATGTCCCTCCAGAGCAATAAACCATGAGGTTCCCTGGTGGGGGTTCCAGCCTGGATCCTAGGACCCTTTCAGGCTCCTTCCCCAGCTGCAGCATCACTGGGGACACCCTTGGGGACATCCCCCCAGTCCCATCCCTTCCCTATCACCCCCCCCTCATCTCTTTGGGTTCCAGGTCTTCTCCAGCTTCCAAAGCTCGCCCTCCCCCAGGGATGGAGCCCCCCCACCTTGGGGACCTTAGTTTGGTTCAGAGAGGTGTTGAGAACAGAGGGACAGCACGGGAGGGCCATGGGCTACCCCAGCATGAGCCACCTCACTGTTCCCTGGTGCTGGTTTTACACCAAAGGCAAATCAGCTCCACGGCACCATTGGTCACACAGCTCTGTCACCTGCCTGTCACCACCCTGGCATGACAGTGGGAGGGGACACAGCACTTGGGGGCCCTGGTGACATAAGCAGGGATGGCACCAGTCCCAGGGCTGGGGATACCCACAATGGGCTGGGGACAGCACAAAGGGGGACAACAGTACTGCCCCCATGGGGGTGAGCGAGCTGGTGGGTGCCACCACAGCCAGTGCCACAGCCCCACCCTGGGCATGGGGACCGTCCCCTCCTGCCTCAGTTTGCACAGGAGCTCCCAGCCCCCCGGGGGAGGCGAGCGATTGCCAACAGGCCGGGCAGCGAGCGGGGAAGGATTTATTGACTCACGGCTCGGGGTACATCACAGTTTGAGCTCCCTTCCCGCCTCCGCAGAGGACGTCACCTTGGACTTCCCGGGCAAAAGTGCACGGAGAGGCTTCACAGTTTGATCCCTTCGGGAAAGCAGAACCGAGGCAGTGACAAATGGCAAACGCTACGTTGTATGAAAAAATAATACAAACTCTTCTCTTTAAATATCTTACAGAAAAATGAACCTGAATAAAGAGCATGAAAAGCACCGCGTGGCGCAACCCCCCGGGCCCTCCGGGGCANCCTGCTGCCGCTCCATCCCTGGGGGCTCCAGCCCTTTGGGGCTTGCCCTCGTCTCCCACCCCCGGCGAAGCCGATGACTTCGGCAGTGCTGCAGCACCGAGGTTCGCGCCCCATCCTCAGGGGTCTTGCAGCAAGTGCGGCCCCGGTAGGGCTATCCCGGGAACGGAGGATGAGCTGTGGCACCTTCCCGCAGAACCGGGGTATTCCGTGCCCCCACCCCCTGTGCCCCCTCTCTCGGCCCGCCGGGGACGGGCGCTGCCCCCGTACCTCTTGCCCAGGCTGCAGCTCGGGGCCGGTGGCCATGGCTCAGCCAGCGTCGCCCGTGGCCAGCAGGAGATGGCGAGTGGCACCGGCTGCGCCGAGGGCTGGGGAGCAGCATTAGCATAACTCCACCCTGGGCAGGCTCCGCACCCAGGGGCCGGGCACGGCAGAGGAGAGGGACCCGGGCAGAGCCGAACCCAGCTCCTGCCCGGCTGGGGAGGTGTCAAGGACCAGCCGTCATTGGCCAAGGGAGGTCCTGGGGGGCTGCAGGAGCACCACCAACACCCTTGGGCTGAACGCACACATTGCCTACAGCCCAGGAGGACACTCAGTCCTTGCAAACACCTCTGTCCCAGGACAAAAATCCGCTCCATCCTGGGACAAAACTCCCTTCGTTCCGGGATAAAATTCCTCTGCATCCCAGTGCACGCCACGTCCCCTCTCACTGCCCCCTGGAGCGTTCCGCATCAGGGCTCCACAGCCTCTTTGAGGTCAGAAACACAGTTTTCCCTCACTTTTGCACCTGACGCTTAAAGCTTCCCCACGTGGCTTTAAGCTCTTGCTGGAGCTGGGCCTGGCTGAGAAGGACCCAGCCCCGGCCTGGGAGAAGCAGGGACGCTGCCCACCACAGGGATCTCAGGCAGGAGCTCCAGCATTCCTGCCTCGGCTTTCCCGGCTCATCGCTGGGAGGCGAAGGGTTAACAGTGCCTCAGGAGGAGCCGTGGGTGGCAGCCAGGGCTCCCCGGCTGTCACTTCGGGGTCACCAGGGATGGTGATTCACCTTGATGCGTGTCGAGATGCATCAGAGCAGCTCAGGCGCGATCCAGGGGCGCTCGGCCACTTTCCCAGCGTC